TGAAAATCGTTAGTTAAATATATTACATTATATATATATACACACACATTTAAAACCCCTTATTTCTAATTTAATGACATTTTTATTTATGGGACATCAATTTCAAGGCAGTTTCAAGCAAACTGAAACACACGGTGCACAAAATATTTATAATGGATAAAATATGGTATATAAGAAAATATATATAAACATATATTCATATAAAAAATATCCATTAAAATATAAAATATGCATTTTTGACTATTATTAAATATCAATTATTTTTGGTTGAAAACAGATGATAGAAGTAGTTTTTCTCAGCATGGATGATGGGGGAGTTCAAGTAAAGAGGGATTTAGTTTGTTCCTTCATGTGTGTGAAAGGCTTTTGTCCCACAGTAGAAATACTGTCAGACATGATTTAATGAGGAGTCGAGGAGAAATTAATTACACTCATTATGAAATACCGGCTCCATTCGTTTCCTCCTCCATCAGTTCACTGTGTCTCACTGTAATAAATGTGTTTAATAACAGTATGCTTGTCAAATCTCCTCCTCCAGATCAATGAGAGGCAGATTCTGGATTAAACTCTGTGGTGTTTTCGGTCTGGAGATGTGCTCGTGTGGCCTGTTTAATGCTCTCAAATTCAGAGACCAGCGTCTGCTGCTAGATTGTGTGTGAGACAGAACAGCCCTGCAGGATTCTCTCATAGAGCTTCATCAAAAACTTCATCCAATCCAGCTTATTTCATTTCAGCTTGTTCACAAGGCAACATGTGCTAAAACAACTAAAACTAATACAAAAGGCAAAAACACAACAAAATGACTAAAACGCAAATTAAATCAAAAACATTCGATATTATATACAGTATATTTAAATCATTCAAAAATTAACAAAACCTTTAATAGTATCTAAAATAACGCATATTTTGCATATGTTTTATATACATTTATATTTAAATATCTTACTTTTTACATATATTTTATTTAAATGTATATATAATGTAATAATATACAATAATACATATCAAATATAATACAATAAATACGTACATATATACTGTAGTAGATATAATAATAATGATAAATTAATGTGTATATAATTTTTCTTTTTTATTTAATATTTATATATTTAATCATTCATGTGTGTGTGAATATATATAGGAGTGGATTTAATAATAATAATGTGATTTGATGTATATATCTAATAATGTTTTTCTTCTTTATATTTAATGTTAACTTTAGTTTTACAGAGCATTTCTCCTGAGCTCTGTCTCTGGATCATGACGAGCGCTGGTCTGGAGGACTGCAGGAATCATTAGGATTCTGCGATTAATCGTTAAACTCCTCCGTCCTCCTCTTTCTGCTTCATTCAGGGAACCGATCTGCTGGTTTTTCTCTCCACGGCCGAGGATGCTTTGTGTTCCTTCACCGTTTATTTCCTCAGAAACAGTGCTACTTCAGCGTCAGTGACGTACTCTTATATTACTCTTATACTAGTCATTTTATTCGATTTTTTTTTGTCAATATTGCTTTTATGAATTTTTTTTTTTCATTTTTTTAACTTTATTTATAGTTTTTCAATTTTGTTGTTTTTTCAATTTTAATATTTTTTAAATGTCTATATTATTTTTAGTAATTTTTATTATTTATTTTTTTATATGTTTGTATTTTCTCTATTCATTTTACTTTTAAAGTTTTAGTAATTTGTTGTTTTTGTCACTTTTATTAGTTTTGTTTTTTAAAATATGTCTACATTATTTTTATTAATTTTTTCATATTTTAGTTTTTTATATTTTCTGTTTTTATTTTAATTTTGTCTGTTTTTATTTTAGTTAAAAGTTTAGTATTTTTTTATATGTCTGTATTATTTTATACTTTTTTTTATATTTTCTGTTTTTTAATATTATTATTATTATTATTATCATTTTAAGTTTTAGTAACTGCAATGTTTTTGACATTTTTATTATTATTTTTTTTTATAAATGTTTAAATACTGTTGATTAATTTTTATTTTGGGTTTAGTTTTTAGTTATTTTAGTACACCAAGCAATAAATGAAAAGGAGAGATGTTGTCTTGGCATCATAAATACAATAAGTTAATCTCAGTTAAAGTATATTTTATTTGAAGAAACAAGTGTTGACAGTGTTAGTTTTAGTTCCCTGCAGTATAGTCACCCGTATGTTGTTGTTTAACGCCTGTAAACGCTGACGGTTTAAAGCTTTCTGACAGATGAACCAGGTTTGTGCTGGTTTTGGTCTTTTTGGCAGTGCAGGTGATGAATGCAGCGCTTCACAGGAGAGGCTCGTCTATGGAAATATCTATAATATATAATATCATGTATAATGTATGTCATTAATATCTTCAGAAGCGACAGCAGCTGTCGACTGAAATCAATCCACACTCACTTTCTCAACAATGGCGTTCATTTGAGTGAAAACAGTCCTTTATAGTCATAGATTTAAAAGTGCAGTGTTTCATCTATGCACTGCCAGATGTGTATCCAGAACCTCGTCATTGGTCCGTCAGGAAGATCTACCAGAAATACTACATTGTGCAAAAATACCAATTTAATATTTAAATTTTTTATTTGCTATTATTTCATTTTTATTTATATTTATTTTATTTACATTAATTTGCTAATTATTTTCACATTTCATTTTTTACATAATAGTAATTGCAATTTGGAAGATAACTGTTTGTTTATTTATAAAAGGATTTATTTATTTTCTTACTTTAGTATCATTAAGATTCTTGAGTATATTTATATTTATATTTATCTTAAATCTTAAATTTTTTAACTGCTATTATTTAATTCTTATTGATTTTTATTTTATTTTATTTACTTTGTATAATTATATATTTTTTTATTTCATTACAGTAATTAAAAATATAAATGTTTATCATGTTTACCAAAACAAGTCACAATGAAAAGGCTTTTATGTTCTTATTTTAATATCATTGATACACTATAATAGTTTTTGATATATTTAATTAGTTTTATTTTTATATTTTCTGTTTTCATTTTAATTCTAGTTTTAGTAATTTGTGTTTAGACTTTTTGTTGTTTTTGTGTCTATATAGTTTTAATTAATTTTTGTTTTAGTTTTAGTTATTTTAATACATCAATTATATCAATTTAATACAAAAATTATTATTATTATTATTACTATTATTTTGAATATGTCTGTATATTTTTTATTCATTTTTATTTCCGTTCTACCTTTAGTTATTTTAATACTTCAATGATAAATGTTGATTAAAATAGGATTGTTTTAAGTCACGTTTCCTGAACACCCCCCCCTGTCTGTCATTGGTCAGTCAGGCAGATAGTCCCGCCCACTCTCACCCCATTGGTTGATTCGGAAGTTGACATGAGCCACTCAGAGAGATCAGAATCAAAATGTTTAGTCGGTGTCTTTTAATAGCTGTAAATTCAGAGTTTTGATTTCAGTCTGTTATGTCTGTATGAACGGTTTGAAATGATGATCCAGTCGAGCGCTGTATACACTAGAGTGGCATGAATATGATCATGAATGAAGGAATCGTGCGCTCTCGTGTGTGATTTACTGCAGACAGCTCCTCAGCGCGGCCGCATGATTTAACATGTGTCTTTAACAGTAATCAGTCTCCACCCCAGCAGTTTGAAAAGCGACCGCCAAACGCCGACTCGATCTTTTTCTCCATCTGCGCCTCCTTTGTCTATTTTTTAATTTTTTTGTACTTTGTACTTTTGGTGAAAAATAAATGTGGCGAAGTTGAATATTTGAGTTTTATTTTACTCAAGTAAAAGTAAAAGTACTACAATTAAATTATACTCAAGAAAGTAGAAAAAATGTACTCAAGTATTGTAACAAAAGTATTTAAGAATTAAGAATTAGTTACCTTCCACCTCTCATCTGTTAATTACAGATTCCTGATGAATAGTCACGGAGCGGCTCAGTCTGTGCTCCTGAAATAGAGTATATAGGCCATAACTTATGATTATGTATTTGAATTGCATCACATTTCCATTTGTTTATGATTATGCAGTTTTAACATAAACTAATAAACTTAATGTGATCATATTTGTCAGTCATATGCCAATGACACAGGTCAGATTTCTGCAATAGAACTAATAAACTGAATGTGTTTTAAATACACAATCACCAAATTTATATATTTATTATCAATAAATACTTTTTTTTTTCAGTCTCATACTATTTCACTTAATTGAATGTGGTTTGTTTCACACCTAGCCATATTTAACCATGTTCATGCTAACCAGGGTTATTATAGTTAGCTCAAATTAAAACTACAACCTTAAAAAAACATTTTCGTTGCTTGAAATTAAATAAATGTTGACTGAAATAAAACCTAATATTAAAACAACTTTTATTTCAGCTAGCTGCAAAGGCAACACTTGTCATTTTAATTGTTTAATTGTACTAAAATAATTAAAACTTAAACTGAAATAAAAAAAAATATTTTAAATAAAAATATTAAAATTAATTTAAATAAAAAACTACAAAAAATAACAAAAGCACAACAAAATCACTAAAATTACAATGAAAACAAAATAAAATAATAAAAATGATTCAAAATATTAAATAAATCTATAATGGTATTTCAATGATTCTAAAGTAACACCATTTTTAACTGAATAAATTTCATTGCTTTCTCAGTGAATAGATTTATGCCGATTCTAAGCCATTTCAATAAATGCATTTTGAGAAAATTATTATTTAAATAAAATGAAATGGATGCAAAATGCCATGATTTTTTGAGTGCAGAATTCTGACCTGTTTCGTTTATGAATGACTGACAAATATGAACCACGTGAAGTTTATTAGTTTGTTTAAAACAGCATAATCCAAATGCATGGAAATTTTATATGCAATAAATGTATTCAAGTACGTAAACCCTAAATGTATGCCCAAACCTGTATTTCTTGTGAGGAACACAGAAGCAGAAGTTTAGCAGGATGTTCATGATGTTCATGTATTCTGTGTGAGTCATAGCATCGTGTCTCGCGGTCCGCAGGTGAACGGGAGGGATCTGTCGAGAGCCAGTCATGAGGAGGCGGCGGAAGCTCTGCGCAGTGCTAAAGACCCCATCGTGGTGCAGGTGCTCCGGCGGACTCCTCGGCCCCGGGGTCAAGGGTCAGTGCAGGACGTGTGCACGCAGACGGAGATCACCTTCGAGCACATCATGGCTTTGGCCAAACTGCGTCCCGTCTCACCGCCGGTGCCGGATCTCTGCCCCTTCCTCCTGTCGGACAGGTGAGCTGCACACTTACTGTGGGAATGCTGTTTGGGAATGCTCTGAGACAACTGTTTGGGAACGATGTTTGGGAACTCTGTGGGAATGCTGTTTGGGAACGCTGTGGGAATGCTGCTTGGGAACACTGTGGGAATGCTGTGGGAATGTTTCTAAAATGCTGCATTTTCTTTTCGGGATTATAACATTGCATAAAGGTTACAAAAACATTTCTTACCGTGTTCTACTAACTTTATTTTCACCCAAAAATATAACATTAATGAAGTGTTTATTTTCAGTATTCGAAGAATGTTAAAATGTCCAGTTTTCTTGACGTGATTTACAAGTGTTTCTTACAACATTCTACTAAGTTCATTTTTAATATTCTACAAATGTTAAAATGTCTAGTTTTCTTGTCATGATTACGACATTAATTAAAGGCTTCAAAAATGTTTCCTAAATGATCTTTTTCACCCAAAATGTAACATTAATGAAGCGTTTATTTTTAATATTCGAAGAATGTTAAAATGTCCAGTTTTCTTGACGTTATTTAAAGGTTATTAAAATGTTTCTTACAACATTCTACTAACTTTATTTTCAGCCAAAACATAACATTATTTGAACGTTTATTTTCAGTATTCTAAGAACATTAAAATGCCCAGTTTTCTTGTCATGATCACAACATATTTAAAGGTTACAAAAATGTTTCTGACGACATTCATCAAGTACAAATAACATTATAAGGATGTTGATCTCAGAACATTTTCTCTCAACCTTATGAAAACACGTATCAAAATTAATAAATTTTGAATGTAGAGCTAATATTTATTGTAATAAAGTTGTATTAATAAAGTTATTTTAAGAGTGTTTTGTCCTAACATTCATGTAACTATTGAATAACGTTCCCTGTCAGCTGGGAAGGGTTTCCTCCAAAGCGATGCTCGTGTGCTCGATCGTCTTTCCTCGGTCAATCAGGAGAATCGAGATGAAGTGTAGGGTTTCTCCTCAGGAGATGGAGGGCGGCTGCTGCAGTGCATGCTGGGAAGGGAGCTGAAAGCGTGTTAGGAGGTGATTAAAGCCGCACAATGGCCCGTTGATCATTCAGAATTCAGAATTTGTCACCTGCTCTTTTTGTCACCTGCATTTTGTTTCTAAATTCCCTTTAGTGCGGCGGATGCTGATGTGCACTTTTTCAGTGCCTTTTTCTTTACAGATGCTCCTTTAGCATTGACAATATTAAAGCATATTTAAACCAAAGCCAATGCATGCAAAAGTCCATATTATGATCAGTCAAGTCAAGTCACCTTTATTTATATAGCGCTTTTAACAATACAGATTGTGTCAAAGCAACTGAACAGTATTAAATAGGAAAATAGTGTCAATAATGCAGAAGGACAATAGTAAACACTCATTTTTCAGTTAAAGGCAGTTCATCATTGAATTCAGTGATGTCATCATCCAGCTCAGTTCAGTTTAAATAGTGTCTGTGCAATCATGTGCATTGCTGAGCTCACTGAGATATGTGTCTGTCTCTTCTCTCTGCAGGAGGTTGAGCTGCGTCGAGTGAGCCGTCAGGAGAAGCTGGGCCTCACGCTGTGCTACAGAACAGATGATGAGGAGGACAGTGCCATCTACATCAGCGAGGTGAGGCACCAACATCAGTCTCAGACACTGACATGAAGCACGAGGAACCCAAGCAAACCTCCTGCTAGTCCTGGTTATGAACCTTCATTAGAGAAACATAACCACTCATACATAACCCTCAGATGTAGTTTTGATCAAGAAGTCGGACATTTGATCATAAAACCCTTTAAAAAAATGTCTTTGATACTGAATTATGAAATCATTTACTGTGTTTGGAGAGACCGGGTCTAGTTGTCACACTTCACTCCAGTGAATATTGTCAGTTTCTATTGAGTGACACAAACTTTGAAGTTTTCACTATAGGAAATAAAGCTTTCGAACATTAATATTGGTATTGAAAACATTCAAGCCATTTAACACACTTTGAGTGCTACAATGGGGCATGTTGTCACAGTATATGGGGTAAGTTGTCACAATGGGATGATCCTGCTGTCGTTAATTTAAAAAAGTACATGAAAAACAATCTAAATTAACAAAATATGATAGTTGCTGGAATATGGACTGTGTGACACCTGGCCCCGGTCTATATACATCCATACAACCAAGGTTTTGTAATGTTTTTGATAGAATCTATTCTGCCGAGGCTGCATTTATTTGATCAAAAATACAGTAAAAATTGTGAAATATCATTATAATGTAAAACAGCTGTTTTCTATGTGAATATGTGTTAAACTGTAATTTATTCCTGTGATCAAAGCTGTATTTTCAACATCATTACTCCAGTCTTCAGTGTCACATGATCTTCAGAATCATATTAATCTTTATGCGAAAAATTAGTAAGAAAAAGTGGGCGGGTACTAAAGTGTTCTGATCACAGGGGAGCACGGGATTGGCTGGAGTCTTGAAGCCTTGACCAATCAGATCCTGAGTCCATAATTCTAAATTACATCATCAAGTTGTGGAACATCATCAAGTTGTGGAGTAAATGTGGAATATGCTGCTTTCATTCTCAATGAATATTATGTACATTAATATTAATGTTATTTGCCCAGCAGTCCATCTTACTATAAGAAAGGTTGTTATGGTTAACTAAAACTAAAACCATAAAATTAACTTTTTTTTTTTCTTGAAATAAAACAAATGCTAACTGAAATAAAATAAAAGCTGATAAAATGAAAACTGGTAAATAAAAATTATTATATTTACTTTTTTTTTTAATTAAATGACAAAAACAAAACAAAATTTTTAAAACTTTAATTAAAATTATAGTGAAAACAGAAAATCTACAAAGAAAATTCCAAACATGAACAATAACTGTAATTGTAGATTCAGTGTTATTAAAATGAGACCGATTGTACTGCAGATATTGGTAAATAGAGGCTAGTCGTATTGGATTAACACTTATTTCTTGTTTTAAGCATAAATTGAACACAATTCTTTATGCTTAAAACGAGAAGAAACTGTTTGCCATTTGGGTAACAAATTGATTTAAATTACTTTATTTTCCAAAAACAAGATTTAAACGAAATTATACTTGAGTAACCCACACACAGAGATTATCAAGCACAAATATAAGTGTTTGTATTTGTTTATTAATAATGTTTGTCCTCACAAACACACGTGAAATATTCACGGTAGAACATAAAAATAATTGACATTTACTTAGATGTAGTGTGATTCAAGGGTGTTTTACTGTCATTGGGATACTAGTATAGCTTTTGTTAATATCATTTGATAATTTGAGACCATTTACATGATTTTTCTCTCTCTCTTTTTTTTGGCATTTTTATCAGTGTGTGTGAGTGTGTGTGAGTGAGTGAGTGAGTGAGTGAGTGTGACCTTTAAAATTTTATTTGCATTAGTTTTTGTATATAATCAGACTTATTGCTTATTTAAACACTTTAAATTGTAATATATATATATATAAAATCAAAATAAAACTAATTCAAATATTAACAATAACTCTAATAGTACCTCAGTGATACTAAAATAACATTGATTTTAGTACATTTTCATAATTTCTCAGAATATTAAAAATAAACATTCAAATACTTTTATATTTTGGGTGGAAATAAAATTAGTAGAACGTTCTAAGAAACATTGTGTAACCTTTAAATAACATTCTAATCACGACATGAATGCTGGACATTTTAACGGTCTTAGAATATTAAAATAAATGTTCAAATAACATATTTTGAGTGAAATAAAGTTAGTAGAATGATGTAAGAAGTTTGTAGTTTGAGAGTGTAGAGGAACTGATCCACTTACATCATTTGCAGTGCATCATGGGCATGAACAGACAGATTCCCATTTCCATAGTAACACTGAAAGATTGCTGGATTGGGCTTCAGGATAACGAGTTCTTCACCGGGAGTCATCATCACATCTCAATGCACATCATAATGGGCCAAAAAAGCTTCATCTTCTTAATGCAGAATGTAAGGTGAGCCACTTTGTGTTGTTTCAGGAGGAGCCGTGGCTGGATGATGAGCACAGCGAATTCTTAGAGGAGCTGAAGATGGAAATGCTGGAGGAGCAGAGGAGAGAAGAGGAGGAGGAGACGAAGAGAGCGGCTCGAGAGGAAGAGGAGGAGGAGACGAAGAGAGAGGCTCGAGAGGAAGAGGAGGAGGTCAGAGCAAATCTCACTGCACTGGGGTTCAAATGTTCACAGTGCAAAACATGTACACTTATTTCAGACATTTTCATGCAGTTTAACTTACAGAAATAAATAACTCAAACTAATCAATAAAAACTGGATACATACTATATAGACATATTTAAAATTTAAATAAAATGACAAAAACACAACAAAATTGCTAAAACCTTAATTAAAATTAAAGTGAAACCAGAGAACATAAATAAAATCCAATTCAAAATATTAACAAAGCTATAATATTTAATTATTTTGATTTGTGATTTTATTTTTATGTTTTCTGATTTCATGTTAATTTTAGTTAAAGTTTAGTGTTTTTGTTAAAAGTTCATTTTTGTGTTTTTGTCATTTTCAGTAGTTTTTTTTTTTGTTTTTTTTTTATTTTCTTACTCAGTATTTTTGTCTTGTTTTCCAATACAAATATCTAAATGTTTTTAAAATAATATACATTTACTTGAAAGCAAATTGACCTCAAATATGAAGTCTTATCTAAAAAAATCTATCAAAATTAAGCGTTTTTATGGGTTTTAACTCTGAATTAAGTTTATTTTTTTGACCCCATTGGCAGATATTTGTTCTTAATTTTGATCATTTTTTTCAGGAATCAAGACTTTTTGCATCTCATGTAAGAATCTTTATATATTTGTACAAAAAAACAAGTCAAAATGCATTGCTTTTATTATAAATGAAAGAATGATAGATTCTGAATCATTTGTTGTTGCGTTTGTGTCTGTCTGAACATCCAAACAAACACAGAAAATCATGTGTTCATACCATGTCCCAAATGAACATGGAAACTCATTAATGAAGTCTCGTGTATGCTGGTTTCGCTTGAATGATTCTCACTCAGAATCTCCCTGCAGGCCAGACAAACTCAAGATGAAAGCATCACAGCGTCCTGCTCCTACAACCACCAGAAGATCATCGATCCAACGGCCGCTTCGGAGAAGAGCGTCCTCGCACAGATCCAGAAGAAGCTATCGCGGTGTCTGCACCAGAGCTCAGCGTCGGGACGGAGCGGAGAGGAGAAGGACGAGCGCTGTCGACAGCTCTTGGAGCTGAAGTGTCAGATCCGCAACAGCGGCGAGTACGACCTCTTCTACGCTCGCAGCAGCACCATCGAGTGCAGCCTGACGGAGCCCAGCGGCGTGGAGCGTGAGCTCCGCATGCTTAACGAGGAGCTGCGCAGCATCCAGATGGAGTGCCAGAACATCATGAAGGCGCATCAGCTGGGATCCCGCAAGCTAGTGGACATCAGCGAGCATCCCGAGAAGTCGGACAAGGACAGTTCGAGCGCGTACAACACGGCCGAGAGCTCGCGCAGCACGCCGCTAACCATGGACCGCTCTCCGGAGCGCCGCAGGGTCAGCCTGACCAGCCAGAAGAACCTGTTGGCGCTCCGAAGGGTGCCGAGTGGCAGTCCCGATCACAGCAACCCGTCTGAGTCCGAACAGACGCCTCCCGAAGGCTCTCACTCGCGAATCCCCGCACGGTGCCAGCGGCCGGTGGACGACCCGGTGCATGCGCGACAGCACCAGAGCTACGTGCAGTTGATCCAGCAGCAGTCGGCGGTGGAGTTCACCCTCAGCGGTCCGCAGGTCGCACGGCCTTCCGAACCCAAGATGGAGTGGAAGGTCAAGGTCCGGAGCGACGGAACCAGGTACCAGTCTTTACTTCGCTACTGTACTTAACTACATTTTTCAAGTATCTGTATTTTACATTTTGAGAAACTTTTACTTCACTATATTTCAAAGCATAGTGTCGTACTTTTTACTTCACTACAAACATATCGTTCTTCATTATTTTGAACTGGAGAAATTGTCACCAACTCCGAGATGTGATAGCGGTGTCCGATTCATGAATGAGCAGATTCTTTTCAATGAAGCTGTTAAATAAGTAAACAACTCACTGATTCAAATGATCAGAGTCAGAGCGAGTCTCCAGTCAATGACTCACTGATTCAAATGATCGAGTCAGAGCAAGTCTCCAATCAACGACTCACTGATTCAAACGATCCAGTAAGAGCGAGTCTCCAGTCAATGACTCACTGATTCAAACGATCCAGTCAGAGCGAGTCTCCAGTCAGCAGCTCACTGATTCAAATAATCGAGTCAGAGCGAGTCTCCAGTCAGTGACTCACTGATTCAAATAATCGCAGTCAGTGACTCACTGATTCAAATGATCCAGTCAGAGCAAATCTGCAGTCAATGGCTCACTTATTCAAATAATCGAGTCAGAGCGAGTCTCCAGTCAATGGCTCACTGATTCAAATGATCCAGTCAGAGCGAGTCTCCAGTCAGTGACTCACTGATTAAAATGATCCAGTAAGAGCAAGTCCCCAGTCAACTGCTCACTTATTCAAATGATTGCAGTCAGTGACTCACTGATTCAAATGATCGAGTCAGAGCGAATATCCAGTCAGTGACTCACTGATTCAAATGATCCAGTAAGAGCGAGTCTCCAGTCAACGGCTCACTGATTCAAATGATCGAGTCAGAGCAAGTCTCCAGTCAGTGGCTGCATTCGAAACCGCATACTTCCCTACTATATAGTAGGCAAAAAGCAGTAGGCGAGCAAATAAGTATGTTTAAATCTTAAGTATTCATTAAAGAGTAGGCGAGAATTAGTAGGCGAGTGCACTAATTCTCGCGAGATTTGGACATACGTATACTTAAGTTGTGTTCAAATATGCCTACTTACCTACTATATAGTAGGAGAAAATAGTATATGAAGAAAGAAGTACGTTCAAAACCGCAGTATTCATAAAACAGTATGCGAGAAATCCCCGGATGTCCCACTGCTTCAGTCCAGATTCTGAAGTGCTCATCGATGGACACTCTTCTATCCCAGAAGCCCACGCGAGAGGATACGTCATCATTGAACGTGATGGAGAACAGAGATGAGGGTGTTTACAAATGTGAGTATTACAAACCGAATTTGTTGAACTACTATAGACTAAACTGTTCCGTTGTTGAGGGTTTAAGACGCTAGACAGTATAGTATATTTGTGATTTTGCTGTAAAAACATGTTTTATCATGTATAATAGAACCGGGGAGCTCCAGTAAGCACATGTACATCACCAAAGTGAATTTACATAAACCATATACATCTTAAAGACGATTACTAAATGTCTATTTAATATGTGACAGGAAAATATTCTAAAAGAATTACAGATGAGCACATCACAACATGAATAGACATCTGAGGGATGTGTGCTATTATGTATATGGTTTACACAGTGACCCAAGAGCCAGTGAGAACATCTAGAGAAAGACCAAAAGACACTGAGGATGTAATTTTGGTCAAGTTTGTCCTGCTGGTTTTTTCATACAACATCAGTCAATGAAACCTGAGTTTCAGAAGCTTCAAAAGCATCATCAAATAGTGTCATGAAGCTTCTGAAAGTCATGCTCCATTGACTGATATTGTATGAACAGAAACCAGCAGGACAAACTTGAACAAAATCACCTTTTTTGTTTAGAAAAAAAAACACAAGGCTTGAACAGCGTGGAAGCAAGTAGATAATGACTGAATTTGTATGTTTGGGTGAACTAACCCTTTAACCCCCCCCCCAATAGAAATTGTATGAAATATATGTAAGCATTTATATTATAGTAGTACCTTGAAGAAATAAAATGTAAGAAATAAGCAGCTTTATTGATTTACAAAAATCACATTTATATTTCTGCATTTGGCAGATGCTTTTATCCAAAGTGACTTACATTGCTCTTATTACAGAGACCACAATCCTCCTGGAGCAACCTGGAGTAAAGACACACTGGTGGTGACGACTGCGCAGATCAAACCAGCAACCTTCTGCTTATCAGTTCACTACACCACAGAAGTAATGAAGCTATATCAAAAATTAGCATCTAATTGTAAACGTATGAAATGAAATTTTGCAAGAAATGGAATGCTGACAACATTAATTGTAAAATGTTTTACAGGTAGTGGTGCTCCTGGAGAGAAATGTTTGGAGCAGACAGATTGTCCCGCACATGTTCTCCTGCTCTTCTTCAAGATTGTGTGGTTCGGGGGGTCTCATCCTCTCTGTGCACTCAGGCAAAGACAGCCTCGATGTCCCTTTCACATCCATGATCAGATTCAGTCTGGTCGTGATGGATGGCAGAGACAGGTGAAGGTGGACACAGTGGTCAGCTGCAGAACTGTCTCAGCTGTGTTGAGATGGCAGCAGGATGTGTATTCACCGCCTGTAAATACATGTTTGTCATGTGTCGATGACTTGTATTTATTTATTGTCATGGTTACTTTTATTTATTCTTTTACTAATTTATTCATGTTTCTTGTTGTTGTCAGTAAATAAAATATAATTGTTTTATTAACATTCATTAATTCATTACTTGACTGAAAATTGAGATGTATTCACCTTGGCTGCATTTGTCTAGTGTGTATTCATGCATAGCTATGGCATATTACAAAACAAATTACATTCTGCTTGTTTTATTAAATTATATATAAAATGAATTAATTATTGGTCAGAATTTATCATTATTGTTGTACGTGTTGGGGTGGGCTAGCAATGCATTCTGGGGTAATCTTATTTTTTAAGTAAGCAATACTTACATTTTTCGGGTGTAATATTAGCAGTCTTCTCCAAAGGCAAGATCTTCAAGCAGCTGCCCGATGTCTCCTTTGTGCAAACATTGCAAACGCTGAGGAAAACTGTACTAGGTAGGGTTGTGGAGTTACTGATGCTATGAGGTGACCTGTCCCTCTTCTTTTTATTATTATTACTGCAGAACTTTTAATTACATACAAGCTCAGGGAAAGATTGTTGTATATTTAACAATGAACAATCATAATATAATTACATTCTGCTTGTTTTATTAAATTATATATAAAATTAATTAATTATTGGTCAGAATTTATCATTATTGTTGTACGTGTTGGGTGGGCTAGCAATGCATTCTGGGGTAATCTTATTTTTTAAGTAAGCAATACTTACATTTTTCGGGTGTAATATTAGCAGTCTTCTCCAAAGGCAAGATCTTCAAGCAGCTGCCCGATGTCTCCTTTGTGCAAACATTGCAAACGCTGAGGAAAACTGTACTAGGTAGGGTTGTGGAGTTACTGATGCTATGAGGTGACCTGTCCCTCTTCTTTTTATTATTATTACTGCAGAACTTTTAATTACATACAAGCTCAGGGAAAGATTGTTGTATATTTAACAATGAACAATCATAATATAAAACATAAATATAATGAGTTTGGGGTTGTGTAACTTATACACAAGTAAAAAGGCACAATTGTTGTTGATGTTGCTATTTATAAGCCTGAGGGATGAAACAGAGTTAAATTCAACAAGAAAAAGAGGAAAACAAATAAGATTTAAGCTGGTTTTGCTTGTGGATGAAAGACTTTGAACAAAATAAAGAAATTAAAAACATTTTGAAAAGACAACAATTTGGGGTTTTCATAATAAAATATAATATCTTTAAGGGTAAAACTGTGGGTCATATTAGTAGGGTTAAAAATATAAAAACTTTATATTTTTTGGTTGTACTACAATCACAACAAAAGGGCAGCTGTTTTTTCAACAAAACCACAAAATGAACAAATTTCATCAACATCAAAATATTTACCGAGAGATGAATTAAAACTCGCTCATATCTTTTAAGTTGTTGCACTTGTAACGTCATAGGTCACATGATAACGTCAACATTGCGGATGAAGTCAAGATCTCATTCATACTTAATGAGATTTGGCTGTAGAGTACGTACTCTTTTAGTGCTCATTAAGTACTTATTTTAATTAAGTACCTACTCATTGAGTATGCGATTTCGAATGCAGCCAGTGACTCACTGATTCATATGATCCAGTCAGAGCGCGTCTCCAGTCAACGACTCACTGATTCAGTGATGTGACATGTATTAGAATTAGTGCTCTGCATTTATCCCATCCAAAGTGCACACACTTGGAGCAGTGGGCAGCCATTTTTTTGCTGTGGCGTCCAGGGAGTAGTTGGGGGATCGGTGCCTTGCTCAAAATAGCAAGGCACCTCAGTCATGGTATTGGAGGTGTGAGAGAGCGCTGTACATTCACTCCCCCCACCTACAATCCCTGCCGGTATGAGACTCGAACCCGCAACCTTTGGGTTACGAGTCTGACTCTCTAACCATTAGGCCACAACTTCCCACCAAATGATCATTCAAATGATCAAGTCAGAGCAAGTCTCCAGTAAATAACTCACCGATTCAAATGATAGAGTCAGAGCAAGTCTCCAGTCAATGACTCACTGATTCAAATGATCGAGTAAGAGCAAGTCTCCAGTCAGTAACTCACTGATTCAAATAATCGAGTCAGAGCGAGTCTCCAGTCAGTGACTCACTGATTCAAATGATCCAGTCAGAGCGAGTCTCCAGTAAACAACTCACTGATTCAAATGATAGAGTCAGAGCGAGTCTCCAGTCAACGACTCACTGATTCAAATAATCGAGTCAGAGCGAGTCTCCAGTCAGTGACTCACTGATTCAAATAATCGAGTCAGAGCAAGTCTCCAGTCAGTGACTCACTGATTCAAATAATCGAGTCAGAGCGAGTCTCCAGTCAGTGACTCACTGATTCAAATGATCCAGTCAGAGCGAGTCTCCAGTAAACAACTCACTGATTCAAATGATAGAGTCAGAGCGAGTCTCCAGTCAACGACTCACTGATTCAAATAATCGAGTCAGAGCAAGTCTCCAGTCAGTGACTCACTGATTCAAATAATCGAGTCAGAGCGAGTCTCCAGTCAGTGACTCACTGATTCAAATGATCTGGTCAGAGCGAGTCTCCAGTCAGTGACTCACTGATTCAAATGATCCGAGTCAGAGCGAGTCTCCAGTCAACGATTAAGTGAATTCAGAAGTCTAACTGACTCAGAATGAGTCAAGAACAAGAGATCAGCTTGAGTATGTGCAAGTGATGACGTGAAAAGTTAGTTACTAATGACGAATTTTAGGATGTATTATTGTAAATGAAAATCATATTTAGGTCACGACTGTCAGTTGTTTGTGAAGTAAATCTGCTGAATGAGGGCAAGCTGTTTAAGTGCACTCTATGAAACGCTTGAATGCAAACATGCCCGCATTTGTGTATCACCGTCTCAACGGGGAAGGTTGAGGGTAAAAATGAAACATATCATTAAAATAACACAAATTAATGCACATGCGTCTTCCCGGCTGCCGAAGCTAATATGTTTGTATCCAAGCATCAGCAGTATCCAGACGTATCAGTAACCTAAACTGATATTTTAATATCATTACTTTAATATATGTAATGTTTAATATATTTAATGTTTTTATAGTGTATGACAAGCCTCCCTCCCTCAGGCTTTTTGAGCAGTAGGATTATATAAAACATATAATATAACATTATTAAATATAAAATGATATTAATAAAAAAATACAAAATAAAAATTCATCGATCAGTACTTTTTTACTTTTAATACATAAGTACATTAAAAATCAAATCGTTTTGTATTTTTACTGGAGTAAAATTGAAAAGGAGTACTTAATACCTTTACTGGAGTAATATTCTGTCTGTGCTTGTTTTGTGCTCTCCAGGTACATCACCAAACGGCCCGTCCGCGACCGACTCCTCCGGGAGCGAGCCCTCAAGATCAAGGAGGAGCGCAGCGGCGGCATGACGACCGACGACGATGCCATGAGCGAGATGAAGATGGGACGCTACTGGAGCAAAGAGGAGCGCAAGCAGCACCTCCTGCGTGCCAAGGAGCAACGGCGGCGGCGTGAGTTCATGCAGCGGAGCCGCTTGGAGAGCCTGCGGGAGAATCCACTCAGCAACGGCGAGGGAATCATCTAGTTCTCATTAACATTTATTATACATAAAAAAAACAACGTTTGTTCTGCTGAAGAAAGTCAGTCAGTCAGGTGTGGAACAGTATGAGGGTGAATAAATGAATTTATTTTTTATGTTTTATTTATTTGTCATTCCTCACAGGATCTGAAGTAAATTTCAGGTCATGTTTACATTTCAGCAAAATGTGAATTATTGTGCAATCTCCTGCCTTTAATCAACACTGCTGAGTCTATTTTTCAGACGTTGTAGGATTTGTATTGTTTGTCAAACCAGCTCCGGCCGACTCGTGTGTAGCTGAAGATAAGCGGGCCAGGACTAACGCTACCTCAGACACGCTTCCCAAGATCCTGACAAAACCAGTTCAGCTTTCCACAGATGCCCAGTCTTCATTACTCAACATGTGCACTGCTGGATTAATCAAAGTACAGACAGGAAACCTGTTCGTGATTTAGCTCTTCCTGCTGTATTAGTATTGAGTTCATGCCTGAGTCATGATTTGTTCTTCGAGAGGTACTGGTTAACAGAAAACCAAACATACCAGGCTCAATCTGTTTATAAATGCTTCCTAAATGATACTGTAAGCCTTGAATATATTAATTATTATTATTTATATATGTATTCTGGTCCTGCTCAGTTTAACTATATTTCATGTCCATAAGCCATTTTTAGAGCTTTCCAGATCAATTTCACACTGGATTCTGTCTGTAAAAGGAACCAATTTCAGCTAATTCCGTTTTTCTCAGTCTGGTTTTATTTCTATTCATTTGGCGCAGCCGTTGTACATTTCGAATGTAATTTTCTGAACTTGTTCTTTGTCTGGTTTGAATAATTTGTAGTCGTCTCTCTTGGCCAGATGAATGTGTGGTCATTGTGGTATTTTGACACTGAATAAATCTTTTCTTCAAAACTTGTGTTCTTACTTTCATACTAATAAAACTTTTTTTTCTTTTTTTTTAAATAGACATTTAATTTTTAAGATTTAAGCCCTGTAAATCGTGTCCTTCAATATCAATGTAATTTGCTACTAACTTCGTATTTTTGAGAACTATTCGCTTTTAAATTAATTGCATATAGAGGCAAATGTCCAGGACATAAATCAGCCCAAAATCAAAGGGTAAAAATACTTTTGCTTGAAGCAGATGAAATCAATTCAATCATAACTGTAGATTAGTGTCTTTAAGTTCAGCTTCGAGTCCATCTATATGCTGATGTACTGCTAAAAGATCTATGAATATATAAATTGTTTGATTTGTTTTATTTAAAAGCATTTAAAAAGAAGCACAAAAATAATTAGTCTGACTGCATTACCAAAATTATAAAAATGTTTGTCAAAAAAGTCACAATGCTAAGTTGTTGGTCATAAAATAGACTTCATTTGGTTTAAAAAAACATTCTGAAAAAAACAGGCTATATGTATATATAGGGTACAACGGGGCTAAAGGCGCCTTTGATATTATTTTCATCTAAACCACTAGATGGCACAAAAACGTGGCGTAGCACTTTCCAAAACGTCCGCTTTTCAAGATGCACGTGTATGTTTGTCTGATCCTTGTCGCGATCGCGCGCAGCAGTGCAAAGTTGATTCTGTGCTTACTTGATCTAATATTTTATGTTTTTAAAAATGTTGTAGATTTAAGTAGCAAATGAGAATGGTCAAAGGTCTTCTTTATGATTTTCAGTTTTGTTTAAGATGATTAAAGTAACAGTTTTTAAATAACGAAAGAATATGTAAAACTATGCTATTTGGGGTAAAAAGCTCCCCTGCTGTTGGGGCTAAAGGCACAGTAATTAACATGATAATTAATAGATGGCTGACTTTTCCATTTGTTGACATGACGTGGTTAGATTCAGATGGTAAATATCATATATTGTGTTGGGTGTCCATATTAGAGATAATCAACCTGTTTAGAATGAAACCATCATATTTAAAAACATGATATTAATCATATCATATAATAAAATATAATTTGTTGTTACTGTAAATATATATTCACTTATTATTGGATCTCCTTCAATACTTTCAGAATCTTTACTTATTAAAACGATTTTGTTTCTGAATTTTTTAAATATATTTTTATATTAACATATTTTAATGACAGTATATTTATTGAACAAAAAATAATTCTTTTAGTTTTCAAAATAAGCAGAAAATAGTACAAACTATTACAATGAGTTAATACTTAAAACTAAGTATTAACTTAGACATTACTTAAAAAACATTATTTTAGCTGAAGTGTTTGTATCAATACTGTGTGTGGGGTAAAAGGCCCCTCTTGCCACCTTATACATTTATAAGATTTTTAAACAAAATAAACAACTTGAAGGATTTATTTAAGTCCTGTTTTAAATAAATAAAAACACATGAATAGATGTGAAAAGGCAAAAACAGTGATTTAAAAAAAAAATCCCCAATCAATTTTTTATACCAAACTTTGTATAAAACTTATTCTCAACTATGTTGTGAAAGATATAACAGAATGATTTGATATACCATTTTGCTTTATGCAGTATATGTGTAAAATGGCCATAAATGGGTTTTCCCATTATATACTATGTATCTATACACTGTATCTATTTTGCATAACAATGTGTTCTTGGGGCAACATGTAATGAAAAAGAAGTGTAATAATGGGAGTAATTATTGGCAAGATTTTCATAATAATATCACATTTTTTATAGAAATATTGCTTTATAATTAATTTTCCTATTCACTTCTGTCTCCCAGAATGCGTAATAAACACATTCCTGCTGTCCTCTGCAGTGGACATGTATCCCCAATAAATGTTTTATACCAAACTTTGTATAAAACTTATTCTCAACCATGTTGTGAAAGATATAACAGAATGATTTGATATACCATTTTGCTTTATGCAGTATATGTGTAAAATGGCCATAAATGGGTTTTCCCATTATATACTATGTATCTATACACTGTATCTATTTTGCATAACAATGTGTTCTTGGGGCAACATGTAATGAAAAAGAAGTGTAATAATGGGAGTAATTATTGGCAAGATTTTCATAATAATATCACATTTTTTATAGAAATATTGCTTTATAATTAATTTTCCTATTCACTTCTGTCTCCCAGAATGCATAATAAACACATTCCTGCTGTCCTCTGCAGTGGACATGTATGAAATCAATGTCCTGTTTCCTTACATAGTCATATTTTGATTTGAAACCCCATAACATTTTCCTGAGATGTTGATTTATGACAAACAATTGGAAAATTAGCCAGATTTAAATGATCATTACAAAATATTATCATGTTTCCATAAGGGTGTTAAATTTGATCACTAAATTAATGTTAGTCATCTTTAAATATCTCTGAAAATCCCTGAATGTGCTCTTTACAGGACATCCATGTGAGGTCTCAGAGTGGCATTCTTTATACAGTCACAGTGCAACAATTCTTGTTGGGCCTAAAATAGGATAAATCAAAACTGCTTAAAACCAATAAATTATCTTTTTTCCCTCATTTGATTTTGGCTGAAATATGAACTGGATCTGTTTCGTGAGACTGACTGAAAAGAAAAGCACACTCATCTTCAGTTTGTAGATATTATCCTTCAGAAGCTCAAACACATCATGAAACAAGAGTTCACTTTAATTCTCTAAACACGCCAGCTTCATTCCCATATCACTCATTGTCCTGCGGTGTGCTCGGCTAATTAGGCTGTGTGATTGGCTCAGGTGTAATTAACCGCGATTGGGTGACAGTGCTGGCATTTGTCACAGCATCAAACAGCAGAAATGTCAGACGGATAACGTTGGTTCAGTCTGAGAGCCACTCATAACCTTTAATGCTCTGAACGGACGAACTGTAATGAGTCCAGCCGTGTCACTTCATGTATTTATGGAACAGATGATCTTTGATATGCTAATTGAAGCATGCAGTAATGGCTCTCTGTGATGCTGGATCATCTGAGCAGACGTCTTCATCGAACCATCAGTTTTATGAGCTGCTCTGAGCTCAGATTAAAAGACTGAAGAAACCAAAGCAGCAGCTGTTTCCCATCAGAACATTATCATTCACTCTCCCTGCAACTCTAACCAGAGCTTCAGCTCAATGCTGCTGTTCTTTGCTTTTTGGACATCAGAAGATTCAGAAAAATCAAGGAGTTTTTAAAATGACTTTTGGTGTAGTCATGATAGGGAGATGTAAAATATTTGTCCATAATAGAACAATGAGGGAAAAATATGCCTCTATGAAACATTTAAGATTTAAAGAGTTGAATGCTTCTTCACTGACCAAAAACCTCTTATTAGTGCATCTGATTGTACTATATGAATCATATATTGATCTCAGAAAGGAATAATTTACCTGAAAATGTAACTGATGTCATTCTTTCTTCTGTTGAACACAAAGGCAGATGTTTAGCAGAATATTAAGGCCTGAACATTGACTTGCATTGATATTTTTCTGAAAAGTGAAGTGAAGAGCGACTGAGGCGAATGATAGCATCAATATGATCTGGACATTCATATGCTGTCCTGTTTTAATTCCTATAGAACATTATTATGAAAGCATTGTTCACATGTTCTCTTTTGTGTCTCTGTACAATGCAGTGAATTTATCTGTTTGATTATTTCCTTTCCTTTCATGTCATGATACATGAGAATACTGAGTTAATGAAGCTCGGATCTTCTCTGTATATCTGCTGCTCTGGGATCAGGCTGGCTGTTATGACTGGTCTGGGATCAGACTTTGTTTCATGCGTCTCATTTCCGTCTCCATTATCATTCTGGACAGAGATCCATGTCTCTTCATGAGTCGCACATCATCTGCTGTACAAAAGCTTCTCAGAAATGAGATTCCTGTCGTCATGCAGCACCGTATTGTGATGCAAATTCATCTCTCACTTTGACAGGTTGTGTGACATGATCTCCTCTTCAGAAATCCTGAACAAAACAAAATATTAATATATTTCAGGACTTTTTTGTTTACTTTTGCATGAAAAAATATTTAGATACTGTGTTTGAATGAAGCAAAATCCATT